CAAAGTTGAAATCCAGTTGAGCACCAGCTGATGATCTTAATTTTAGTAAAGATTCTAAAGGTGAAGCCAACAAGAATGGATGGTGGTTTTGGATTCATCGGGTGTAGACAAATATGAAAATGCCATCAATTTAGCATCACCCTATCCCGCCAAACAGTTGCCAAGTATTGATCCAAAAGTCATCAGCAAAAGCAGAAACAGTTAAAAGTCCTCTCCAACTAAGAATGAAATTTTGCTTTCTGAAACTGGTATAAATCCTCTCCAACTTCTGACATATGTTAATTTTTGCTTCTTAGTTGAATGAACTGCATTCATTTGGGCTTTACAACTATGGAGTGCTTTTAACAATCTATTTTGCCTATTTCTGGCCAGTGTGTACTTGACTGAAGGCTTTGTAATTTTATTTGATTCCATTATGCTTATTTTAGATTGTAAGCAATCTAGAGCCTAGCAACCGCATTCCTTACAGTTTCATCATTCAATGCAGGCCTCTTGTAGCCAAGAAGTCTCTTGCAGTAGGTAGCGCTACTCCTTATCTGGGAAGCAAAGCAGGAGACCAAAAGAAAGCGGGGAAAGTGACAGATTCCAAGCAAGGCAATATCTCATCATTCTTTAAGAGAGTTAATTTTTGGGCACAATGAAGTTTCTACTTCTCCTTGCTAGCCATCCCTCTCCATTGAATCTCAATCTTTCTTTTGGTTAGACATTATATTAAATCTAATTCTACCTCATCTACAACGCGAGGCTTGATTCACTATCTTATATAGTCTATCTTATATAGTCTATATGAAATCTGGAGGTGACAGCCTGATTCACGCCAACTACCAAGTTATTTTTTATATTATGTGTGCTATCTAAAAGGATTCCCAGTCGTCTTGGTTGTTTAAATCAGGGTACCTTTTTCTAAGGGTTGTAAAGGGTGCGTTTGGTTTATGTTTACATCATAAATTGTAAAATTTTAAGATAATGTCAGGTGTAATTTTTTTTTAATGGATGTAGGAGATCAAGTCATGTCAGGTTTATTTTTGTGGGTTTCATGACAAATTAGTTGTCATTTTGGCAAAAAAGAAGAGAAAAAGATGAGATTTTGCTTTGTAATTATTTTTTTGAGGTAAAAAAGGACTATTTGAACTAAAATATAAGATGAGATTGTAGTTAAAAGGAGGGTTTTATCTCATAAGAGTGGTGACGAAAATTTGAAGGGAGTTTTAACCAAGTCAATTGTTGAGTTGTTTCATTACTTTAGGAAATCACCCACAATGTTGTAACTGCAGAAAGTGGAGGTTATAGCTGGTAAAAGGAGAACAAAAAAGAAAATTTTAGATGGGAGAAGACACTGCTTGTCCTGCTCAAACATCTGCAAATTTTCAGATTTTATTTGTTTTGCAATTGCTTTCAGATTTTGGATTTCAACATAATTTTCAGTAGATTTAGGTTGTTTTTTATCATCCCAATAGATAAATTAATTCATGTATTTGCTTCAACAATTTCGTTTCATGCAATGAATTTCAATATTTCAAGTTTATTCAAGATATTGTTTTTTTTTTCATCTGTAATTAATTTAATATTTATGATAAGTGGCATTTCTTCAATGATTACTTATATGACGTACATATTTTTTCTTAATTTCAAGCATATTAATATATTCACTGTTCATGTTTAATTTTAATGATAATTAGGTTTAATTCTTGAATTCTGCAGTAGTTTAATTTTCAGATCTATCAGTAGATACCATTTTAATTTGGCAATGAATATGTTTAATTTAATTCGAGTACAGTTTTTTCTTGTAAGTTTACTTTAAATTACATGCTATTTAGGTTAATAATATTTGTTAATTTTAAATCACGGTAGTGTTTAAGTCCTTGGAGTTGTCCAAGGTAGATTTCGTAACCCATTCTACAAGAAGGTATCTCTCCCTCTTGTAAATTATCTGTAAGCGCAGACTTCAATTTTAATCCAACGTTCTTCTCACCATCTGTAAGGAGGTCGACCATAAGAAAGAAGAGAGTCGTTAGGCAAGTCATCATTTATTACTTTTAGCAAAGTAAATGGCACGTCCGCATCTAAATTTCACACGTGCGAGGCCACTAGAGGATTTTTGGAAAAACAGTTTCATATGGTTTCAAGGCATTTGAAATGTCTTTTTTGTGTCTTAGTTTTGATCCACTGAAGCTGTTGGGCATCTTAAGGAGCAAAAGATTGATGTTCATAGATTCAGTGTAGAGAACCAATTTGATGCAATGTCTTGGTTGGTGCAATCCATGAATTCCTGAGGAGAAAGAAAATTTTTTTCATGGAATTACTCTTATGAAAATCTTCAATACTGGTCAACAACCTAAATAAATCAGTGGTTATTTCCTTTTACTAAAAATAAAAGATTTTAAGTTCGAGTCGTATGACATGCAGATGGAATGGAATAAGAAATGAAAAATGATTGTCTCCCATTGTGCAATCAAA